AAATAAGAATGAATGAAGGCATAATAGCTAAATGAATGCCACGAGCCATTTTTTAAATAAATATTTATTAATATATGAATAAAATCCTTTTTTAAAGGCGCAAAGGATATTATTCAGAAGATGCAGTTTGACGTGGTCCCAGCCACAGCAGAGGATGAGCCACCAGCCAAAACGCAAAGCACGGAACGATTCGCAGACTGGGAAGATGACGCGTCATTTGCATCAGCGCCAAAGTCGGTCCATGATGAAACTTCTGAATATCTCACCTGCCGGCTCTCTGACAACCCAGACCCAAACAACGTGCTTCAATGGTGGAAGTTCAACAAAGAGCGCTTCCAAGCGCTCTCAAAGCTGGCGCGCTTCATTTTCAGTGTCCCTGCATCCAGTGTCCCTTCAGAGCGGCATTCAGTGTCTGTGGGCGCATCTTGGAAGAGAGACGCACAGGACTGGGACCGCAGTCGGTCAGCCACGTTCTCTTCCTCCACAGCAACATTCCAACCAAGTGATTAATTAGTAAATTAAATTTTTTGGTTTTTATAAGTTATCTTATTTACTAGTGTTATTTGAGCCACTCAGTCTGTTGCTATTAGTTAATTAGGTGCCCGTGTTACTGAGCAGCTGCCTAAGTTTGAACATTTTTATTTATTTTATTTTTTCAAACAGAACACCTGCAACATATGGCAAAAACCTTTAAATCTGCTGTTTTTCATGTTTATACGGTACTTGTTTTGCAAAGCGGTCTATTTTATGTACAATGTGATTGTGTTAATTTTTTATACACGTGTATAAAAACGAAGTTATTAAAAGTCACGGCGCTGTGTTGTCTATATGCCGATTGTGTTAATATTTCTCATTCAGGTCTCTTAGAAACGTGACCTCGATCACTGCGTGATTACAGAGGAGAATAGAATATGAAACGGCCTTGATTTTCCTTTAAGCACCACACCGTAGCTCCTTTATGTATTTTTCTTTAAAGAATTTTATAATTTAAGTAGTGAGGAGTTATTTGAAATCGCATGCGCCGAGGCGTCACCGGCGATCCTGGTGACGCCTCGGCGTTAAATGGTTAAAAACTAAATTAAAACAAAGTGCGTCAATCCAAGACGTGCAGGCCTGAGAAACGAAACAAGGATTCATGTGGTTCCTGTATAACCCATAAAATTGCATGTTTTCTCCAGAACCAGAGAGGACACAACCTCAATACATCTCTTTTATTGTGAGGTAATCATTTCTCCGGGTTTTGCGGTTGCGGAAGTGGACATGCACACTGCGGGTGCAGTCGGTAATAGAAATTCGGCGGGAGCGGGATGAAGAAAACAGTCCCGCGCAGGGCTCTAGTCTGGTGCAGACTTCTCTGTTTTGGAGGCCAGACAGTTGGTGTGTTTGTGTCTGCAAATGAAAGGTCATTCCTGGTCATTTATTTGATGAAAACTTGACCTTTGGTACGTTACAGCTGCTAGCAACCGAAGCTAAAGTATCAAGCTAATGTTATCCTAAACAGTTTATTCACCTGCTCGAGCAGATGATGATGCCTCACTTGGGTCATTGTCCGTGTTGTCATCACCACCCCAGTCACCCATCGCATTAGGTAAGAGGACCCAAACTTTAGAGTGCGTTCTTTCTACCATGCTGCTTGTTCTGTTTACATCTCGCTGCTGAGACTGACGACGTGATGCGCATGCGCTGCTGTCTGTCTTGGGAAATCCGGTACCGAACGCTAGTGCGTAAGTGGCAAAAGGCACAGAAACAAGGCACTGTTTCATATCATGTGAATCAGTCCTAGGCCTGCACCACCGAGTGTGGTCGGCCCATCCCTATTGGTGATCATATTCTCTTATATCAATACTGAGCTAATTCTTGCGTGCATTAGAGGAATTTCATTTGAGTTCATCACAAAAAGAAAGAAAAAAGAAATGTGTGTAATGCTGCTGAAGTAAGCCTGTTACTCTTGTCCCTTCAGGACAGCCGACGACAGGCGTGTAAGTAGGCAGCATGGCCTGTTCTGCTGCACACTGAGTTTATCCGCTGTAACTTCTCCTCTCAGCCCCCAGGGCACTAATACGTCTGTGGTAGTCCTTCCCAGGGAGCAGCAATCCAACAAACAGCACAGACCTAATCCAGGCCAGGTCTGGGGCTGTGTTTGGTATGCATCCCCGAGGTCCAGAATAAATACACGATCTGCCTGGCTGAACAACCACAGGGCCACACTTACCATGCAGGCCTTGATGGGATATCTCTTATTCATATATGTAACCTCATAACATTTAAGGCTTTTCACAAATAGGAGCAGCTTTGATCTCCTGTGGAAAGTAATGTGGTTTTAATGTCTGACTATCTGTCGGCATGTCTGCGTGTCTACAGAGAGAGAAGTTAGGGGGTATGCTTGCCTTGAGGCAAGGAGCAGATCTGTGATTGGAGAATAGTTGGTTTCACTTCCATGCTGGTAGAGGAGGGTGGAGAAAAATGGAGAGCTAACTCTCGACCTTTGCTGTTACCTTTGAGCAACACACTGAGCCTCCTGCAGCTTCAGTCGGCGGCTGCAGATGTGCTTCTGTGCTCTGCAAACACAGATGTACAAATCAGGGCTTTTGGACAAGGACGACTCTTTTGAACTTTCCTTCTCGGGTGTGTCCTCTGACATCAGCCCTCTCTCTCTCTCCTTTTGTTGCCACGGGTAGAGCAGATCAGCGGTACCTGTTCAAACTTGCTGTTCAATTTGTGGATCAGCAAGAGCGCCTAAGAGCTCAAATAACCAGACGCATCCATCTGCAGTGGTTCTGATAACACCTTCCTGCTTACAGGCCCCTCCCGCTCATTCAGCCTAATGACATAAAACATAATTAGGATGGAATATTTACTCATTTAAGATGGACCAACACAATCCACATGGCTGCTTGGTATTGTATTGTATTGTCAGGGATCTACAACCCTCCAAGGCGCTTCACAGCACCACCCTCATCCACCCATTCACACTCAGGTGGGATGAGCTACGATGTCGCCACAGGGGCGCACTGGCAGAGGTCGACGGTCCCTCCGACCACCACCAGCAGGCAAGTTGGGTCAAGTGTCACAACAGCAGCATTCTCCGGTCGGAGCCAAAATCGAACCTGCAGTCGTCTGATTACTGGACTATCTGCTCGCCCGCTGACCCACTGCTGTCATAAATATTGTAATGTTTTAGTTTCGGGTACATTAACACAGAGGTTTGAGCTTTGATGCTTCCAGAAGTGCAGCACACATCTCCCTACGGAGAAGTCCGGTATAGGCTCATTCCCACTGAGGAATACTCAGAGACATTCCTGACGGCACAAGGCGTGACTTGTTATGGAGCTTGTTCACAGAGCTGTGTTAAGGTGCATCCACACACACACACATCAGACTGTGTGCTCCAGGAGAGCCAGCGTTGATTTAGGGCATTACTCAGACGTGGGGAGGGTGTGTGTGTGTGTGTGTGGGAGGGGGGTATCCCTGGTTGCATTGGGAGAGCCTGCAGCCTTTGTGATTCCTTTTGATCAAATCTCTGTGAAAGATGAGTGTCATGCCCTCTTTCAGCCAGCTGTGAGGGGACTGCCCTGTAACGGGGAGGGGGGCTTGAGTAAGTAAAGGGCAGGCTTACCTCTGTGTGTGTGTGTGTGTGTGTGTGTGTGTGTGTGTGTGTGTGTGTGTGTGTGTGTGTGTGTGTGTGTGTGTGTGTGTGTGTGTGTGTGTGTGTGGAGCCTAGAGAGGGAGCAAGCAGCTCCTGAGGTGAGACTTCTGAGTGGGAGGGTCTCATTCCATTCCCTTGTGCCCAGTTTCAACACACACACACACACACACACACACACACACACACACACACACACACACACACACTCACTCACATGCATGCACGCACACACACACACACACACACACACACACACACACACACACACACACACTCACTCACATGCATGCACGCACACACACACGCACGCACACGCACGCACACACACTCACTCACATGCACGCACACACACGCACACACACACACTCTGAACATCTTGAGTACTTCAGAGCAAGACCATGGCAGCATTAGAGGAGAGGAAGCATAGAAGGTGTGTGTGTGTGTGTGTGTGTGTGTGTGTGTGTGTGTGTGTGTGTGTGAGAGAGAGAGAGAGAGAGAGAGAGAGAGAGAGAGAGAGAGAGAGAGAGAGAGAGAGAGAGAGAGAGAGAGAGAGAGAGAGAGAGAGAGAGAGAGAGAGAGAGAGAGAGAGAGAGAGAGAGAATAAAAGCACAGAGACATTTTTTTAAATGAGTGTGTGTGTGCTCACACACCCACACATCGCCACAGAGAGACGAGAGAGGGAGAACATGTGTGTGTGGTTGAAGAAGCGCTGCTGGAGCGATGGTTCTGCTCTGTAAGAACTTGTGTGTCGGACAGCTTTAGAGGGAGATTAGCAAGACTCAGGATGGCCGACTCTCTGGTTTCCGTAGAAACCTACGACTAAATGACCATGGCGGAGGTAAGAGCCTTCTCACCCATCTCACAACCTGCCTCTACTGGCTGTAGTCCAGTTTGGTGGACTGGGAACCAGTTAGGAGATCCTACCAACTGAAACAAGTACTTTTAACCTGATCCAAACTAACTTGTGTAACATCCACACCGAGCAGGGGCGTTGGTTTACCGCCTTTCATACTTGTTCGTTTTTTGGGACACGTCTTAGAGAGGACAACGAGAGGATGGGAGGGAAGTCCTCATCCATGTCTTCTTCTATGTCCTTGTCCAGCTCCTGTCTGTACATCGTCTTTGAGAGTAGTTGTAATCATGGACTAAATGCGGTACCGGTGGTGCGGTCCGAGCACGGGCCTGTCCAGGACGCCGGCCTCGTGATCTGTTCCTGCGCGCGTGGTGGGAGCAGGAGCCTGTAAACGCCATCAGCTTTATGAGCTTGATGATGCCTATCTATGAGGGGGTGAGGGACGTGGGAGGGGTGTGTGTGTTCTCTCCACCCTCCCAACTTTTCCAGGTGCTCTGATCTGCCTCTCCTGGTCCTGGGCACACACACACACACACACACACACACACACACCCGTTGCATCAACCCTGCGCTGCCACCAAACCGCTTGTAAGGATTTGTCAGCCAGATGTGACAAGACTGTGAGGAGGCACGTAGGAGCAGAGGGAGATGTGATGTTAATCAGAGCAGAGCTGGTTCCCCTCATTTGCTGCCTCTCCGAGTTCCTAACGGGAAGCAGTCGACACCAGAGAGCCGTCCAAACTTTGGCTTGTCCTCGTGTCTCCACACTCAGCCCACCACCTAGCCTTTTACGGACCAGACCCTTCATGGCTCCTCAGGTAAACGTTTGCTCTGTTTCAGTGTTTGAACGTGTTTGGGACTGACTGCTGATGACAGAAGTAATGAGTCGTTCACGCTACATTTGGGTTGTATGGAGTCCTGCTAGGCTCAAACGCAGCCATCGCCCTCTGCAGTGGCTAGGTTTTACGCCTTCGTTCCTTGTTCTGTTTCATCCTAACACAAAATCATTCGTAGAAATGTGACGTGATGTGTGTCACGGCACACAGGTCAGAGACCGGTAGGATGAGAAGGTTTAGAAAGTCTAAACGCTAGCTGTAACTTTTCTTCCTTTGTCTGTTGCTTTAGGAGTGTTTAGTCTCATTAATCAGCGGCTGACAGCTTCCTACGGTGCTGCTAGACTTCCTGTCTATGAGAACGTATCTATCTATCTGTCTGTCTATATAATATTGTTAATTGGTATTTTCTGTATTTTAGGCTTGGGAAAATGGATTCATGTTATGGATGGATGGATGGATGGATGGATGGATGGATGGTAGATGAATGGGTAGATGGGTAGATGGATGGATGGATGGATGTAGATGGATGGATGGATGGATGGATCGTAGATGGATGGATGGTAGATGGATGGATGGATGGATGGATGGATGGATGGATGGATGGATGGATGGATGGATGGATGGATGGATGGTGGATGGATGGTAGATGAATGGGTAGATGGGTAGATGGATGGATGGATGTAGATGGATGGATGGATGGATGGATCGTAGATGGATGGATGGTAGATGGATGGATGGATGGATGGTAGATGAATGGGTAGATGGTAGATGGATGGATGGATGGATGGTAGATGGATGGATGGATGGATGGATGGTAGATGAATGGGTAGATGGTAGATGGATGGATGGATGGTAGATGGATGGTAGATGAATGGGTAGATGGGTAGATGGATGGATGGATGGGTAGATGGATGGATGGATGGTACATGAATGGGTAGATGGTAGATGGATGGATGGATGGATGGTAGATGGATGGATGGATGGATGGATAGATGGATGGATGGATGGATGGATGGATGGATGGATGGATGGATGGATGGATGGTAGATGAATGGGTAGATGGTAGATGGATGGATGGATGGATGGTTGGATGGATGGTAGATGAAAGGGTAGATGGTAGATGGATGGATGGATGGTAGATGGATGGTAGATGAATGGGTAGATGGGTAGATGGATGGATGGATGGGTAGATGGATGGATGGATGGTAGATGAATGGGTAGATGGTAGATGGATGGATGGATGGATGGTAGATGGATGGATGGATGGATGGATGGTAGATGAATGGGTAGATGGTAGATGGATGGATGGATGGATGGTAGATGAATGGGTAGATGGGTAGATGGATGGATGGATGGGTAGATGGATGGATGGATGGATGGATGGTAGATGAATGGGTAGATGGTAGATGATGGTAGATGAATGGGTAGATGGATGGATGGATGGATGGATGGGTAGATGGATGGATGGATGGATGGATGGATGGTAGATGGATGGGTAGATGGGTAGATGGATGTGTAGATGGGTGGATGGATGGATGGATGGATGGATGGATGGGTAGATGGATGGATGGATGGATGGATGGTAGATGGATGGGTAGATGGGTAGATGGATGGATGGATGGATGGATGGATGGGTAGATGGATGGATGGATGGATGGATGGATGGTAGATGGATGGTAGATGGATGGGTAGATGGGTAGATGGATGGATGGATGGATGGATGGATGGATGGATGGTAGATGGATGGATGGATGGTAGATGGATGGTAGATGGATGGATGGATGGATGGTAGATGGATGGGTAGATGGGTAGATGGATGGATGGATGGATGGTAGATGGATGGTAGATGGATGGTAGATGGATGGGTAGAAGGATGGATGGATGGTAGATGGATGGTAGATGGATGGGTAGATGGGTAGAAGGATGGATGGATGGATGGTAGATGGATGGGTAGATGGGTAGATGGATGGATGGATGGATGGATGGATGGTAGATGGATGGTAGATGGATGGGTAGATGGGTAGAAGGATGGATGGATGGATGGTAGATGGATGGGTAGATGGGTAGATGGATGGATGGATGGATGGATGGATGGTAGATGGATGGGTAGATGGGTAGATGGATGGATGGATGGATGGATGGGTAGATGGGTGGATGAATGGTTGGATGGGTAGAAGGATGGATGGATGGTAGATGGATGGTAGATGGATGGGTAGATGGGTAGATGGATGGATGGATGGATGGGTAGATGGGTAGATGGGTAGATGGATGGATGGATGGATGGGTAGATGGGTAGATGGATGGTAGATGGATGGATGGATGGATGGATGGATGGTAGATGGATGGATGGATGGATGGGTGGATGGATGGATGGATGGATGGATGGGTAGATGGGTAGATGGATGGTAGATGGATGGATGGATGGTAGATGGATGGTAGATGGATGGGTAGATGGGTAGATGGATGGATGGATGGATGGGTAGATGGGTAGATGGGTAGATGGATGGATGGATGGATGGATGGGTAGATGGGTAGATGGATGGTAGATGGATGGATGGATGGATGGATGGATGGTAGATGGATGGATGGATGGATGGGTGGATGGATGGATGGATGGATGGATGGGTAGATGGGTAGATGGATGGTAGATGGATGGATGGATGGATGGGTGGATGGATGGATGGATGGATGGATGTTATTCCGTGTCATGTTTATTATTTGATGGCCAGAACAGCTGTAATAATTCAGATGGAAGTGAGTTACTGGAAACGTTACAACGTGACCAGAGAGGAAATGGTTTCCTTGGCTTCTACTTGACGAGCATAAATTCAGGATTACCTGTTCAGCTCCTCTTAGCAGTGTCGGGTTAGGTCAGTCATAGCCCAATAATCCTTTATGCTGTACTCAAAAGAAATAAGTTCTGCTTAATGTGGAAAATCCATCCGTCCATTTTCATCTGCTTATCCGGGGTGGGGTCACAGGGGCAGTAGCCTAAGCAAAGAGGCCCATTTTTCCCTCTTCCCGGCCACTTGGGTCAGCTTCTCCGGGGAATCCTTACCCCGGTTTCACACAGGAAGCATCAGGAGCGCAAAACGGCATCGGAACAATTTCCTCGCAAACTTCAAAGCGGTCCTTTTCACACTGGGAGAGTATTGGCAGCTGTTTTCTGCACTCGCGAGATCACAAGGTCCTTTGAGACTTCAGGTCACGGTTCATTTAGGCTAACCCTCACCAAAAAGAAGGAAATCACATTTGATATTGTCTTTAATTGGAATAGAAACAATAAAAGAGAAAAGTTAAAACAGTCAGTAAGATACAGCAAAATGAAACAAGAAAAAACACTAATCCTGGAATGCCTTGACATAAAAGTGGGTCTTCAGGCGAGTCTTAAAAACCATCACTGAAGGTGACTGATGCACCACCAAAGGCTCCAGAGTGTAGGAGCCGACGCCGAAAACACACGGTGCCCTCGTGACCTGCAGCGCTGAACCACCAGCAGCTCCCTGTTTTATACCAGTTAGTTATTAATCCTCTGTAATGTGTGTGTGTGTGTGTGCGTGTGCGTGTGTGTGTGTGTGTGCGTATGTGTGTGTGTATGCGTGTGTGTGTGTGTGCGCGTGTGTGTGTGTGTGTGTGTGTGTGTGTGTGTGTGTGTGTGTGTGTGTGTGTGTGTGTGTGTGTGTGTGTACCTCAGTAAAACACACTGAGTTACTTTTGGCTTCCAGGCTGAAGGACCCACGTCGTTTTGTGCAATTAGCCTTCTTGTCATCAGCCTCATTGATGCATGAGAGCAGCCACGGCTTTGTTGTGACAACAGCTTCCCGCTCTTCCTTTTCTTTTTCTTTGTCTTCCTCTCAAGAACTCATGAACTGAATGACTAATTAAGATAAACGACTGGTAGCGCTCTCTGAGTCAGAGTGTGTGTGCCAAAGCACGGGGCACCTGATTGAGACGTATATTAGGGAGAGCAGCAGCAGGGGGATGGGATTAGACTAATTGGGCCGTGTTGGGTCTCAGTACGCAGTAATGATGGGATTATGTCTCTGAGAGATGAGCAGAAGGAGTTTTACACCTCACCAGTTCTTTCAGTTGTGACCGTGTGTGTGTGTGTGTGTGTGTGTGTGTGTGTGTGTGTGTGTGTGTGTGTGAAGACCAGGCAGCTTCATCCTTGGTTACTTTATAGGTGTTAATGATGAGGGGTTACTGCGCGGGCCTGGACCACAAGGACGGCTTCAGCCTCAAGCACACAACTAAATAACTGACTACGTGAGGAGGAGGAGGAGGCTCGCGACCATCACCCCAGACTCTCCTCCTCCTCCGCCTGTGGTGAGGGAGTGAGCCATGGCATGGAGCTACAAAACTCCACCAATCATACATTAAAGATGCAGAGAAAGTGGAGCAAGAACATAGGCACCCTAAGGTTCTGTCTCATACCACTATTCTTATTAATCTGATCATGCTTCCCCCATTCCTACTGGTTTTGGTTTTTAGATTTAATATGAAGCAAATGGTGGGAAAAGGAATCTTTACTGTTCCAAATCCGCAGCTACTAATGCACGGAACGTTGCATCTTCCTAAAATTATTTGAGAAAACTAGGCTAAACTATTGTTGGATTGATGAGAAAATCCAAATACCACCCATAGAGTCCACGTAACGACCAGCACGTAGCGGCCAGCACGTAGCGGCCAGCACGTAACGGCCAGCACGTAACGGCCAGCACGTAACGGTCAGCACGTAACGGCCAGCACGTAACGGTCAGCACGTAACGGCCAGCACGTAATGGCCAGCACGTAACGGCCAGCACGTAACGGCCAGCACGTAACGGCCAGCACGTGACGGCCAGCACGTAACGGTCAGCACGTGACGGTCAGCACGTAACGGCCAGCACGTAACAGCCAGCACGTAACGGCCAGCACGTAACGGCCAGCACGTAACGGCCAGCACGTAACGGTCAGCACGTAACGGCCAGCACGTAACGGCC